TGGAGCCAAGTACTTTACCAAGATCGACCTTCGTAGTAGCTTCCACCAGATCCGTATCCGCGAGGAGGACACTCACAAGACCGCCTTCCGCTCTCGGTTCGGGCACTACGAGCTCCTCGTGATGCCATTCGGACTCACCAATGCCCCCGCTACCTTCCAATCCACCATGAACCACATCTTCCGCAACCTCCTCGAAGTCTGTGTCGTTGTCTACCTTGATGACATCCTTGTCTTCAGCCCCACCTTCAAGTCCCACCTTCAGCACCTCCGCCAAGTCCTCGTGATCCTTCGAGAGCAAAAATTCTACGCCAAGCTCAGCAAATGTACGTTTGCCGCTTCGAGCGTCGAATACCTCGGCCATATTGTCTCCACCGAAGGCATCCGTGTGGACCCCTCAAAGGTCACAGCCCTCGTCGAGTACCCCCCACCCAAGACCCTCCTCCAACTCCGTTCCTTCCTTGGCCTTGCCAACTATTACCGCTCGTTCATTCGCAATTTTTCCGAGATCTCTTACCTCTCCACGAACTCACCCGCAAGGACGAGCCTTTCCATTGGAACGATCGCCGCCAACAAGCTTTCGACTTACTCAAGCAAACCATCACCACGGCCCCTGTCCTCAAGATCGCCGACCCCACTCGACATTTTTATGTCACCACTGACGCCTCCGACTTCGCCATCGGAGCCGTACTGTCCCAACATTTCCCCCGCGACACCGCCGAGACCCCCTCCATCAAGGACTCGCCCACTCACCCCGAGGCTCCACCTGGCGAATACCCTATCGCCTTCGCAAGCAAGAAGCTCCTTCCCGCGGAGATGAATTACCCCTCCAACGAGAAGGAACTCCTCGCCGTGATTCACGCCCTCACAGTCTGGCGCCCGTACCTCGAMGGGCAATACTTCACCATCCGCACTGACAACACCATCGCCTCCTCCATCCTCTCCAAGAAAGATATCACTCCACGCCAAGCCCGCTGGCTAGACTTCCTTGCCCAGTTCACATTCACCATTTGCCATACCCCCGGCAAAAGCAACCGCGTTGCCGATGCCCTCTCGCGACGACCCGACCACAAGCCCCCCGAGAAAGTCTACGCCACCATGACTCATATTCAAGTCCTTCCATCGCTTCATCATCGATACACCCAAGGCTATCTCTCCTGCTCAGACTTCCCCACCATTTACAACAAGCTCCGCGATCTTGACTCAGTTCCCGACTACTCTCTTCACAAAAATCTCCTCTACATCGATACCAAAGGCACTCGCTGACTTTGCATCCCCGACGCACGAGGCCTCCGTACTCAGCTCTTGGCTGAGCACCACGACGCCAAGACCGCAGGACATCTCGGTTTCCAGAAGACCTTCGACACCATTTCCCGCTACTTCTACTGGCCTTCCTTACTCGCCGACATTAAGGCATACATTCGTTCGTGCCCCACGTGCCAAGCTGTCAACCCCTCGAACCGGGCCAAACCCGGCAAGCTCCAATCATTGCCCATCCCAACTCACCGGTGGCAATCCATCTCCATGGACTTCGTGTG